GTTGAGGGAGGGAGGAGGAAGAAGCAGGGGGGGGGGCATTTACAGTTTCTTGATACTAAATTATGGATATATATAATGAAGGCCCCCCTGTGAACTAAAGAAAGCTAGAGATGTAAATCAAAATCTCATTTTGTGAGATCTCCCATCTTAACATGAATTTTAGATACATAACTGAAGTGCCAGAAGTTTCCCGTGGAGCTAAAGAAAAAATTAAATTTTGAAGAAAAAAATTGGAATTTGTAATGAAATTGATTTTTGAAAAAGGAAAATCTCTTTTTTAGCCTATGTCAGTACCAGGGTAAAAATTCAGGCAATTTTGCCCTTTTCAGTAAACGAACACCCACCTGGCCTCCTTTAATGATATTTTAGTATTAACAGAATTCAAGGTTGATGAGCTCTATTCTTTATTCATTGCAAATTCTTTGCCTCGCCCGACCCACTCAATCAATCAAATATATCTGATCTCCAAGATATATCTATCTATCTATCTATCTATCTATCTATCTATCTATCTATCTATCTATCGATCTATCTATCTATCTATCTAGAGATATCTCTTCAAGAAATTCAACCCTAATATCAGAATTGAACTGTTTTACATCAACTACTTGACAAAAAATATCCCTATACCTAATAAACTGCAGTATCAAATATCCCTACACCTAGTAAACTGCAGTATCAAGTATCCATATACCTAGTAAACTGCAGTATCAAATATCCCTATACCTGGTAAACTGCAGTATCAAATATCCCTATACCTTGTAAACTGCAGTATCAAATATCCCTATACCTAGTAAACTGCAGTATCAAATATCCCTGTACCTAGTAAACTGCAGAATCAAATATCCCTATACCTAGTAAACTGCAGTACAAATATCCCTATACCTAGTAAACTGCAGTATTTATTTTAAAAAATTTAAATTTTAAAATATAACAATGAAAAAAAAGTTCGCGGATATTCTAAAAGAAGTTTCAAAGAATTTCAAAAGTTTATGAAAAATCAAAGTTTGTTGGAGGCTTATTTTTGAAATTTCTATCATTCATAAACCTTTCTTTTCTTTCTTTAATTGTTTAGATTTTTAGACTCTACACACAAACCAACAAGAGGAAAAATCTTTCATTTTTGAAAATAAATTGATTTTAGCCAAAGGAAGGAACTAGAGGCGCACGACCGCGCGCTTAACTAATTAATTCTGTGCAGGTATCATGACAAGACATATCAATATCAACATTGATCCTTCAAATCTAAAATCATTTAACTTTCTTCAAGTAATTAAATTTTATTTAATCTTAAAACTAAATCTATTATATTTAGTGTCTAGTATCTAGTATCTAATATCTATTATCTAGTATCTATTATCTAATTTCTAGTATCCAGTATCTAGTATCTAGTATCTAGTATCTAGTATCTAGTATCTAGTATCTAGTATCTATTATCTAGTATCTATTATCTAGTATCTAGTATCTAGTATCTAGTATCTAGTATCTAGTATCTAGTATCTAGTATCTAGTATCTAGTATCTAGTATCTAGTATCTAGTATCTAGTATCTAGTATCTAGTATCTAGTATCTAGTATCTAGTATCTAGTATCTAGTATCTAGTATCTAGTATCTAGTATCTAGTATCTAGTATCTAGTATCTAGTATCTAGTATCTAGTATCTAGTATCTAGTATCTAGTATCTAGTATCTAGTATCTAGTATCTAGTATCTAGTATCTAGTATCTAGTATCTAGTATCTAGTATCTAGTATCTAGTATCTAGTATCTAGTATCTAGTATCTAGTATCTAGTATCTAGTATCTAGTATCTAGTATCTAGTATCTAGTATCTAGTATCTAGTATTATAGTATTATAGTTTATATTATATCTTAGTATTATATTATAGTATCCTTATTTATGTAGAGTATATTATAGTATCCATTTTTATGTATAGTATAGTATCCGTATTTATGTAGAGTATATTATAGTATCCTTATTTATGTAGAGTATATTATAGTATCCATTTTTATGTATAGTATAGTATCCGTATTTATGTAGAGTATATTATAGTATCCTTATTTATGTAGAGTATATTATAGTATCCATTTTTATGTATAGTATAGTATCCGTATTTATGTAGAGTATATTATAGTATCCTTATTTATGTAGAGTATATTATAGTATCCATTTTTATGTATAGTATAGTATCCGTATTTATGTAGAGTATATTATAGTATCCTTATTTATGTAGAGTATATCATAATATCCTTTTTTATGTAGAGTATTTTATATAACATGGGATACTCTACATAAATAAGGATACTAAACTATACTCTATAGTTTACATAGATAAGTTCAGTTAAATATCTGAAAGATTGTACCGTGTTGCATGATGAAGCTGAGCATGAATTTTCAATTCTAAACAAAAATTAATGCATTAAAGAATGCCATGATACCATTTCTAAATTTAAGAAAAAGCATTCACTAATTTCAAGGCCCAAAACTAATTAATTCACGAGAATTCATCAGAATTTCTCCCTGGTTTAAAAATCTAGATTTTACCAATTAAAATAGTTTTAATTTTTATTGAACTAATACTATTTGTTACCGTCTGTATTTATAAATATTACACACTTCAAAATGTTTTAAAAGTATTGGTACTCGGTAGTGGTATCCTGGTACCAGACCTGAGCCTGCGATTTAAAAACTTAGGCTCGAGTAGTAATTCCTAAAACCCGAGTTTAAGGCTCTAACATAGACCCAACTCTGACGACAGCTTGTGTCACGTGATGGACAGCTGCAATATCTTCGGCTCGACTTTCGTAGCTAGGCCCAATGAAAAAAGAACCGAGTCTTAATTTAATTAATTCCCGGAATCCGCCAATTATAACTATAAAAATCCGTCAAAAAAGATATTAAACCGGTTTGATAAAACAAACTCGGTGGAACATTTAGTTGAAACTAAGATCCCTAAGCTTGAGACTTAAATTAGTCTCAATGACACCTTAGACCTATAAGTTTTCAATTTTCAAATCTTTTAGTTTTAAATCGTGGGCTCTGTTGTATTTTCATTTGTTTATTAATACCCCATTAGCAAAGGGGATCAAACTTAATATTTTGTTGTTATGCACTATAACTAACCTGAAAAACCTCTAGTGCTGTATTGTCTACCTAGAGCAGCTAGGTGTAAACGTCTAGTTCTGTAATGGCTACCTGGAGCAGCTAGGTGTAAACCTCTAGTACTGTATTGCCTACCTAGAGCAGCTAAGTTTAAACCTCTAGTGCTGTATTACCTACCTGGAGCAGCTAAGTGTAAACCTCTAGTGCTGTATTGTCTACCTGGAGCAGCTAGGTGTAGACCTCTAGTGCTGTATTGCCAACCTGGAGCAGCTATAAACCTCTAGTGCTGTATAACCTACCTATAGCAAATCTAAACCTCTAGTACTGCATTGTCTACCTGGAGCAGGTGTAAACCTCCAGTGCTGTATTGTCTGCCTGGAGCTGCTAGATGTAAACCTCTAGTGCTGTCTTGCCTTTCTGAAGGAACTGATAGTGCTGTATTACCTACATAGAGCAAATGTAAACCTCCAGTACTGTAAAACCTACCTAGAGCAAATGTAAACCTCTAGTGCTGTATTGTCTACCTGGAGCAGGTGTAAACCTTCAGTGCTATATTGTCTACCTGGAGCAGCTGTAAACCTCTAGTGTTGTATAACCTACTTGGAGCAGCTATAAACCTCTAGTGTTGTATAACCTACTTGGAGCAGCTATAAACCTCTAGTGTTGTATAACTTACCTGGAGCAGCTATAAACCTCTAGTGTTGTATAACCTACCTATAGCAGCTGTAAACCTCTAGTGTTGTATAACCTACCTATAGCAGCTGTAAACCTCTAGTGTTGTATAACCTACTTACAGCAGCTGTAAACCTCTAGTGTTGTATAACCTACCTATAGCAGCTGTAAACCGCTAGTGTTGTATAACCTACCTATAGCAGCTGTAAACCTCTAGTGTTGTATAACCTACCCGGAGCAGCTATAAACCTCTAGTGCTGTATAACCTACCTGGAGCAGCTGTAAACCTCTAGTGTTGTATAACCTACCTGGAGCAGCTATAAACCTGTAGTGTTGTATAACCTACCTGGAGCAGCTGTAAACCTCTAGTGTTGTATAACCTACCTGGAGCAGCTGTAAACCTCTAGTGTTGTATAACCTACCTGGAGCAGCTATAAACCTCTAGTGTTGTATAGCCTACCTGGAGGAGCTATAAACCTCTAGTGCTGTATAACCTACCTAGAGCAGCTTTATCCCACAGTTACAGATTTACACCCCAAACCATATTAACATACACATTTAGACACTCTTTCTCTGCCACATGTCAGCCCTTAAATGGAGCATATGCGGCAATACTGCGAGAAGCAATTAAAAGATGTTTAAAACATTCAAAACTTTCAAAACATTAGAGAGTTTGCATATCGTGCAATTTGAAAAATGAATTAAGATTATATTTATTTTTTATTCATTTATCTATTTGTTTGCGTAACACAATTTGAATATATTGTTGGTATAATTAATGATAAAAATTAATTATGATAAAAATTACCCTGTTCCAAGAATCAAGATATATATAATAAAACAAGCAATAAAATAATCTTTAGGAAGACAATTAATTCTGAAAGAATTAGCTTGGTCAATTCCATCTATAAAATAAAAGGAACCCGTTGACCAATTGCCCAATATTTGTATTGGAAAACTCTGTAGAACCAAGGGAAGGCAAAGCCTTGCAAGGATATATTTGTGAGGGATTGACCATATCTGTGTGTACTGTGTACTGTGTACTGTGTGCTGTGTACTGTGTACTGTGTAAGTGTACTGTGTACGGTGTACTGTGTAGTGTGTACTGTGTATTGTGTACTGTGTACTGTGTACTGTGTACTGTGTACTGTGTACTGTGTACTGTGTACTGTGTACTGTGTACTGTGTACTGTGTACTGTGTACAAGTGGACAGTATATGCGTACTACCTACCTAAGCATATGTTCATCAACAAGATCTAGTGCAGCATGAGCAATAAACTGGTTTAAATGACGATGATCTTCTTTACGACTCTCTCGGTTCCCTGATCCACTGAAATAATACATTAATAATAATAATAAAAATAACAACATTTTCTGACAATGATGAGTACAATGACAATAATAAAACAAATTAAAGATAAAAAAAAAAAAATCATAATTGCTGACAACAATGATAACGATGATGTAATTAATAATACTTGAAACACCTGAATTCCATCTCAAATATAGGATTGTCTCTGTGCCCAACAATAACGAAATAATATATTCCAGACATTTTCCAACCCCTCTAAAACATTGGATCTGAAACATTCATGTACAGTGTCAAGCTCACTGTACTGTGTACTTTAGTGTACAGTGTGTTGTGTACATTAGCGTACTGTACTATTTGTTGTGTACAGTGTCCGGTGACCTGAAATGTGTACATTGAACTGTGTACATGAGTGTATTTTTGTACGTTACATGTATATAACACCGGTGTATGGATGCAATTTATAAAAGAAAGCGATCACGACTTGTTAAATTATATTGAGGCAACGATTAAAAAGCGATTTAAGATTTATGTCATGTTTGAATTTGGTCTTGATTGAATTTTACCATGCTACTTCTTAAGAATGTGTGACGTGTTTAGTGCGAATTATTTTCTAAAGTAATTGGAATGATGAGGTTGTTTACCACTGGATTTTGGATATAATAATATAACTTGAGTGGTAACTTAAAAGTCGTCTTTGACCTTAGAAAAAGCTTGCGACATTCATTATAACAATAGCCCTAATCCTGCCCTTTCCAAAACGTGGTCTGTTATTGTTTTGCTCTCAAAAATACCAGAGATATTAAGAATTTGTTTAGATTTCAGTTTATGAAATAAAACGATGAAAATGTCTCATTCTGAACGAAATCATATCTCCGGTAATAATGAAAGCACAAAAATGGCAGACCACATTTTGAAAATAACAGGACTCTGGACTAGGGCTATATTCTATGATTTTTGTTTCATAAATAAACATGGCTATATTCAGGTTACCTATGCGAATGCTGCAAACTACTTCTAAGGTCAAAGACGACTTCAAAGTCTTCAATCATAAGATATTATTCCAGTTTATTTAAAATAGGACTGTATCGTGACTAATGTTTGAGCGCTGATTAATATTTGGTGTTATTTATATGTGTCAGGTGACTGTTTGACACTATGTTGTAATTTAAATATTTTCTATATTACAGTGTTACAAAAATTATTCACAGTAACTTTCACATAATATGTACATTGTACAATGTACGTTCAGTGTTTGACAAATTTTAAATGATATTAATCACATTCATTTTGCTTTTCTATGATCACTTCAACAAAAATAGTAATTTACAGGGTTTAAGGAGGTTGGTTACTATTTAAACTATTGATTTGAAGATAATTTTTTACATTTTGTTTCAAAAAAATAAATAAATTTATTTTAATATAAGATTTTTAAGGGTTTTCATTAACAGTAAATCGTGCTGTATATTTAGACACAATCAGATATTTAAGCTTAAAGCAAAGAGAAAACACATCAATTGTAAAATCATTAAATTACTGACAAATTTCATTCGCAAGCTTCAAATAAACGCCGAATAGAAAAATAGTAAATGCGAAACAAAAAGAACAATTTTATTTTGAGATTCTTAGGATGTATTCTAATCAAGGGGTTTCGTAAAAGATTTTCGTTTTGTTTAGAGAGATAATTTCAAAATAAAGATAAGGTCGAAAGAGGGGCAAATACATTACTATTAACATCCGCAGTGAAGGGGGGAGGGGGAGTATCAAATCAACAGCAGTAAATAAATATTCTATTCTTTTGTAAGACATTCCGAAATAATTCACTAATAGTAAAATGTAAAAATTACAGAAAAATCTGTTTTTGTTTTCAAAAGATTTGTCTGTCTGCTAATTACTGACAAATTTGTTTAAATTTATCTCTTCGAGGGAAGTCGTCTCGTCCCGCAAAGCAATGCTTCAAAGTCCCTTTTGACGTTTGAGGTTAGTTTAATAATCCCTTTTGAGGAGAACTGAAACAATGGAAAAGCAGCAAATGCAAGATGTGAACAGACCTAAAACAAATTCAATTTAGGAGAGGATCTTGGTATTTTCTTCTTTATTGTATTAGTTCCGTGTTCGTATTTGCCCCAAATTTTTCAGAATCCCTCCCCCCATCATTTTTGAGGATTATGGGAAAAAAATTAAAAAGGGGACATCAATAAGCAAGTTTTTTATTCTTTTTCATACTTTTACCAACAAAATCATTTATTTTCCCCAATTGAGTGAGAAAAAAAACCTAAAAACATTTTCTAAAGGGGGGGGGGATTTTTTAAGAAACATCATAAACACCGGGAAACCACCGCCTCATGTATTTGGCAAATTCTTTATTTCCATGGTCTAATGATCCTTTATTTTATATATTTTAAGCAGATTATCTGTTTTTAATTTCTTAGTTAAAAAAAAACTATTTGTTATATGCTCAGAGATCGTTGACTAAGGAACCCTTTTATCTAGAGTTTGATTGATGGATAACAATTTATTTGTTTATTTCTTAGTAAATATTATATCCTTACGATATGTTTCTATATAAAAGTAGGAAACTAACTTACCCAGAAAAATGTATGCCGTAGTGATCAACCAAAATGCAAAGATATATACAATCCTAGCACAATAATCAAATCAACTTTAATTCTATAAAATAAAGGCTTCTAAAAACTCAAATCAAATTTCAATTAAGGATTAATTATAAAGTTAAATTCATTGTTAAATATATTGATTGATTGATTGATAAATATCTTGATTGATTAAAAAGCTAACTATTGAACTAATTTTTAAAGTAATTCATTCTTTATTCTATCAATGAATTATGCATTAGCTAGTTAAACTATTTAATTAAAGAATGATATCAATATTTAAATTGAAAAATTTAGGATATGACTCGACTAATTAAAATGAATTAAAATGAATTAAAATTAAAATTGCCAGTCAAACATCATTCAGTAAAAATTAATTAATTAAATATGAAATAATTTATTAAATTAAAAATTAAATCAATCGATCTAAGAAATTCTACATTAATCCAGGAAAATTTTCGCTTAACAATTGATTGACTTGTTTTATTTTAATTTAGATTTTTTAATTCTATTAATTGTTGATTGATTGATTGATTATCCCTGTTACAGTAGTTGAGATCAGTTATTCTGGCTGGTTCTGTGTTAGGCCAATATATTCTGTACACCCATACACACCCTGGACAGTGGACAATATAAATATTTTAAATTAATTTCAGGAGCTTACCTTCTTTATAATCAACAAAATGAAATAAAATTTTTGATGGGCCCTTTTAAAATGGACACCCCCCCCCTCATAATACATATATACATACAACTGATTTGAAGAAAATTATAACCCAAAAGTCCATCTGGATAGCAGAAGTTAAGTATCGGAGGGTAAAAATAATATATATAAATAATATATATCAGGGTAAAAATGAATAACACGTTATAAATAATATATATCAGAATATGAAAGATGTAACTGACCTGTGATGAACCAGCCACAAAGAAAGAATGTAATGAGACTTTGAACAGGATGATTTGGTTCAAACGAATCCTTAATGATAAGAACCATTATAATTATAGAGGGAAAATTTGAGAGTAGGGGTAGTTGGACCCCCTCCCCTGGGTTGAATTTCGGCCAGATATATAATATAAAAAAAAATCATTAAACCACGACTACATCAAAAAAGAGGCCCAAGTTAGTAACCTAAAATTTGCACATTGTAAGAAAAGACGATTTGGTAACCTAAGAGAAGTTCCGTGACAGAGAAGGACGCAAGATTCAACAAGGAGGACGCATAATGTGTTCAATGGCCGCAGCGCTTGGTCCCCTAGCCCATCCTAGCCGCAACGCTCGTCCCAGATATGATCCCAATCTAAACTAACCCAGAATATAGATAACATGAGCACATTAGATAACAGTTTCCAATGAACAAAATGAGATTTCGTTTGTTATTTATTTAGTGTGTAGAAAATAGGATGTGACTATGATATATAATGCATGCGGATGTATTGTATTGGGGCCTACGATAGATAGATAGATGGAACTGATCACGTGGCCTTATGGAAGAATCTGAAAGTTACGGGGGAGGGGTCCAGTACCCCTCGTTAAGGGTTCAGCTCTATAGGAAAAATTGTTTCAGTCTTCAATTACACTAAGTAACCATTCGTAGCACAAATCTTAGTGTGCAGAACACAGGCTGAAATTGTTATCCTTGATTTTCTTGATTTCTTTGTTTTCTTGACTTTCTTGATTTCCTAGACTTCTTGATTTCCTGTGATTTCTTGATTTCCTTAACTTTCTTGATTTCCGTGACTTTCTTGATTTCCTTGATTTCCTTAACTTCCTCGATTTCCTTAACTTCCTTGAGTTACTTCATTGATTTCCTGAACTTCCTTGATTTCCTAAACTTCCTTGATTTCCTTAACTACCTTGATTTCCTTAACTTCCTTGGTTTCCTTAACATCCTTGATTTCCTAACTTTCTTGATTTCCTTAACTTTCTTGATTTCCTTAACTTTCTTAATTTCCTTGACTTTCTTGATTTAAAAATGTTCATGATAATTGCTACCTGATCATTTCCTGTCTCTGCTCTTCTAACCCTGGTGAGTACTCCAATCAGATATTTAAACACGGAGAACGCTCCTAATATGCAAAAAATAATAAAAAGTATGCAAAAAACATTTAGCAAAGAAAAAAAAAAGATTGTGGTGCAGTGTACAACAGCGCGGCGCCTGAATATTTAAAACTTTTTTTCAACCCAATTTTATGTCGTCAGACTGGTTAGTGGTTGTTTTAAAAAAGGTATGGTGACAAAATGGCAATTTTAGTGAAGAAACCACAAATGAAAATAATCATTTTCCGAAAACAAAAACATGGATATCTATTTCATACTTGATCAAACAAGGCTTTTCTGGGTTCCGTTGAGAATCATGTATTGCCATCTTAGCATGAAGGGTCACTTGAAATTACGATAACAGTCCCTTTAAAGCATATAAATGTTTTACATAAAAACATAGTAGTCGCCGTAAGGAAATATTGGGTAAAATTACCTCCGACAATTAGAAATATAGGAATGTAGGGTTCTGCAGGACACTCATGGAAATATACTATACACAAATATTATCAAACATTAGTTTCTATATAAATAAAGGAGTAATCCGATCATAACTCAGGAACCCTTGAAATATTAAAGTCGATGCAATCAAAACAAAAAAGTAAGGTGGGGAAAACAGGGGCTGTTTAATTTCTTGAAAAATGGCCCCCCGCCCCCATCTTTTAAAAAAAGAATTTTAGAAATGTTCTAGGGGTTTATTAAGCAAATTTGAAAACATTTGGGAAAAATATTGGAAAACGTGTTTTTTCCCAGAACGGTTAACATCTTTTCGGGGGGAAGCTAATTCTTAAAAATATATACCCCTGGATTCAAATCTAGAGAATTTTTATAGAAAAGCTTTCGCAAAAGTTAACTTTTTAGGCTTATTCTCGATAAAAAACGACATTCCAAAAATTCCTAATGAAAAATAAAAATTATTATGTTTGATATGTGTTTCCTGAACCAACTACTATCATTGCTACAGGTATTATGATGGTTATACTGCACGCTGAGAATACAAACAAGTCAAATATTGACAAATAAAAATTTTAATCTAAAAAAATAATTGAAATAATTTTAGTACTGGAATAATATTCATCCTGTTGTCGAGAAATACATAAGAAGAATAAAACAACAGCTCTCAGAAGAGTTGAAACTGTAAATATTTAGATTTTGGAAAATAAATTACTGGTTTGCAATCCTTACAGAAGTTCTTCTAAAATCTATTTTTTTAGATCAATTTGAACTGACATCATCCATTTTCCAAATTTTGATCTTTTTCAGTAATATTCTTTATGAAACTATTTTGTACTTAATCATTCTTACTCACTTCGTGGTGAATTTTAATATGAAATCATCGTGCTATAAAGTTAAATTATCTGTCCAATATAGAACGTGTGCTATAAAGTTTTGATTGGTTCGCCAATTTTCTCCCAAAAAGTTCAGGATATTAAAAAAAATTTCAATATAACTGAAAATAAAATTAAAATCAACTACATATTTTATTTCTGCTTTCTTAAGAAGCTTATTTAATCTAGAAATAGCCATTGCAATAAGACAAGTAGACAAACGTTTTATAAACACAATTATTTTGGCACGATGTGCTATAAAGATTTCGGACTTTAATGTTCTCTGACTAAAAACTTTATTACACTGCAAACCAAAATATTAGTGTTATAAATAGTTAATATAGTTAATATTGCTTATCATGCTAAAAAGAAAATTAAATAAATTTTTTAAACTTTTTTTAATTCAGTAGAATTTGTAGGTTGTATCTCATGCCTATTGTGCAACCTATTGTTCCCAAAAGCAGTAATATCACCTAAACAGGATTAAAAGTTAAAAAAAATTTTATATCTTATAAGAATGTTATCGATGAACATTTGTGACAGCCGATCGTAACGGTGCCGAACTGCTTTGTGAAACAAAACCAGGATTTTCTCCAAATGTTTTTTCATCATGAAACTAAATGTTTTTACATCATGAAACTAAATGTTTTTAAATCATGAAACTAAATGTTTTTACATCATGAAACTAAATGTTTTACATCATGAAACTAAATGTTTTTACATCATGAAACTAAATTTTTTTACATCATGAAACTATAAGTATTTTATTTCTAATTTTGTTCACCTTGATTAGAAAATCTATGACATTTCTTGAAGCTTTGTGCGTATCCCGGATCCGACCAAACAGGGAGTCGTAGGAGGGGGGCTCAGCTAAAAACAAAATTATATCTTCAATTTTTACGGACAAAATGTTTTTAAGCAAAAACAATCTATTCAAATCCAAGAAGGCTGAATTTATTATTAATAAGTCTTTATTTATGTTTCGAAAAAAATATTTTTATAATGATTTTGTAAAATGTTGTGTAATAATTATTGTAATATCTTAGAAATTTTAAAAATATTTTATGAAAAAAAAATATGGACCAAATTGTTTGAATTATAAGATTAATGAAATAAAATCATCTTAATAGACTAAAACATAATCTTAAAAAAACACAAACCATTTGGATCCACTGCTTCTTCATATGATGGGGGCGGGCCCCGCGACACGCCCTGGTGTGCTGGAACAGTGCCAGGAATATCGTGATATGACGGGGGCGGGGACATATGATTAGAGGGCGTTTCTGTTCCTGTGGGTGTGGCAGTTCCAGAGGTTAGATAGTCAACCTCTATGGGATTTACTGTAACTAAAAAGAAAAAAATTATTTTTAAATTTCACGTTCTCCTTTTTTCCGCCACTCATCAAACTCAAAATTAATTTGATCTTTCTGTTATTGTAAAAAAAATTCTTATTTTTCCCGAAATTTAGTAAGGACACATATTAGGTAAAGTTACAGAAATATAAAGAACTAGCTCAAATGTCCGGTTGGTCCTGATAATGAGATGCATCAACAAAGCTGTTTATAGCTTGGAGGTAAATCAAGGTAGCTCATAGCTCAGAGGTCAAACAGCCTACAGGTAAATTGATAGCAAGTTGGTCAATCAGGTAATTTGATAGCAAGGAGGTCAATCAGGTGGCCAGTTCGTAGCTATGGGGTCAATCTGGTAGTTCATAGTAAGTGCTCAATCAGGTCGAAAGTTTATGGCTGGGTGGTTAATTAGGTAGTAATTTATAGCTAGAGGGTCAATCAGGTAGATATTTCAGAACTAGGGGGTCATTAAGGTAGCAGTTTATAGCATAGGGTTAATCAGGTAGATAGATCTGAGCTTGGGGGTCAATTAAGTTGGTAATTTGTAACTAGGAGGTCATCAGGTACCAGTTCATAGCTAGGGGGGTCAATCAGGAATCAATTCATATATAGAGGGTCAATAAGGTAGCAGTTTATATCTAGGAAGTCAATCAGGTAGATAGTTCAGAGATAGGGGTCAATTAGGTAGTAGTTCATAACTAGGAAGTCAATCAGAAATCAGTTAATATCTATGGGGTCAATCAGGTAGCATTTCATATCTGGGGGGTCAATCAGATAGAAAGTTCATAGCTAGGGGGTCTATCAGGTAGATAGTTCAGAAATATGGGGTCAATCAGGTTGTAATTCGTAACTGGGAAGTAAATCAGAAATCAATTCATATATAGGGGGTCAATCAGGAAGCATTTCATTCTAGGGGGTCAATCAGATATAGTTCATAGCTAGGGGGTCTATCAGATAGATAGTTCATAGCTAGGGGGTCTATCAGGAAGGAGTTTATAGCCAGTGGGTCAATCAGATAGATGGTTCATAGATAGGGGTCAGTCAGGTAGAAAGTTCATGTTTAAGGGGTCAATTAGATAGATAGTTCATAGCTAAGGTGAATTAGGTAGACAGTTCATTGCTCAGGTAGCAGTTCAACTCTTAAGAGGTCTTTAAGGCGAGCACACTTTTACAGTGTAACAAGCAATATTTCGATTTTAACATGTAGCTGTTAATGGCTTCCTAAACATCTGAATTTTTTTTAGGAGCACTTATTTGTGTATGGAACAACTTGAGCCTGGGTGCAAATTTTTTCTAAGGGTCATTTGGGTCACCCTACCCCTCACACTGGACTGCCAAACAGATTGAAGTCAACCCCTAATTTGTTTAATTCGGTTTAAAATGAAAAAACAGAAAAGGACATTTGAACAAAAATAAAATAATCAGCATAAGCATACATTGGGGCAAGTTGTAAGCGAGGTAGTTTAAATTTCTGATATCTGGAGACAAAATGTGAAAGAAGCACATTCAAATAGGACTTTCTCATGCATAAGTGAAAAACACTAAGCATCAAAATAAACAGAAAAGTATATAAGGGCGTTTCACCACGAATAGATTGGCGTAAAGAGAAGTTTAAGCAAGGTGATCTAAATTTATGAGATCAAAAGATAAGATGTGAGAGATGCACATATATTACATACATTTAAATATGATTTTTTTACGTATCATGATTAGATAAAAACAATATATGAGATTAACATAGAATTAGATTGTTCGTGTTTTGAGCAAACAACTAACAAATTTCACAAAAAAGAACATACGGGCGTTTCACCAGAAATGTATCAGCGTAAACTGGCCTTTGGGGTTAATATTTTTAATACTCGAACTAAACTGACCTCCATGAATGTAGGGTCAATTGACATTATGCTTACAGTCCCTTTACGGGCACTTATCAACTGTGAAGTTAAAATTCGTTAAAATTATGCAATTATCGGAGAAAACAAAATAAACAAAATGGCATTATCAACATGTCAAAAATAGTTCTTAGGACACGCGTTTCTGTTTACAAACAGAAACATAATAATAAATTAGGAAATTTTAAGTTAATTTATACTTATAAAGTAGTAACCTCTGTTTGTCTGTATGGATGTCCGATCACAACTCAAGAACCCCTTGACCGATTTGCCATAAACTTTGATTGGGGCACTTGGTTATAGAACCACGGGAATATTTTTAGCTCGGTTTAAGTTTAGTAGGTTGACTTTTGTAGTGAAAACTTAGGGAGGAATGTTTTCAGGAAAAGCTGTGTTCTCAAGCAAGTTTATAATACTTTTCAGGGCGCTTTGGGGTCTGTCCAAGAGAACGATTTTTAGACCCGATCCTCCACCCCCGGGCCCTATCAATTTAGTACATGACCAACTATTTAACCATTTTTTAATAAAATTATTGTTATTTATTTTGTATTATTTAAGGGTTAGGTTAAGACATACAGTCCATTTTGCGGTAATTTCCTAGAGAGCGATTTTTGG